GTCCCCATCCCCATGGAGGTCTCCAAGGAGGTCCCCATCTCCATGGAGGTCCCCGTCCCCAAGGAGGTCCCCATGGATGTCCCCATCCCCATGGATGTCCCCATCCCCATGGAGGTCTCCAAGGAGGTCCCCATCTCCACGGAGGTCCCCGTCCCCAAGGAGGTCCCCATGGAATTCCCCCATCCCCATCTCCAGGAATGTCCCCGTCCCAGGTTCTCGGCGCGGTGGTGGCCAGTGGGGCCGGACGCCTGGCTCCTGGGTGCTCACCCCTTTGCCGTAGGGCTGGGTGAGCCAGCCCAGCTCGCCCTGCGCCTTGGCGAAGTCCAGCAGGACGACTGTGGGGAGAGGAGAAGGGTGTTAGTGGGGGGGGGGGGGGGACGAAGCCTGGGAGATGCCACCGGGACCCACGGATGGCCCCACGAGCTGCAGGTGCCACCAATATCCGTATCCACTTGGACCTATGGATGACCCCCAGGACCCACGGACGTCTCCCAGAGCCTTTGTGGATAGCCTTGGGACCCACAGATGTCCCCGAGACCCACGGATGTTCCCCAGGACCCTTTTGGATATCCCTGGGACCCACAGATGTCCCTGGGACCCACAGATGTCCCCCAGGACCCTTGTGGATAGCTCTGGGACCCACAGATGTCCCTGGGACCCACAGATGTCCCCCCAGGACCCACAGATGTCCCCCAGGACCTTTGTGGATAGCCTTGGGACCCACAGATATCCCTGGGACCCACGGATGTCCCCCCAGGACCCTTGTGGATAGCCCTGGGTCCCACAGATGTCCCTGGGACCCTTGTGGATAGCCCTGGGACCCACGGATGTCCCCATAGATACCCCAGGCCCCACAGAAGCACCTGATCCCCACAGATGTCCCCATGACCCATGGATGTCCCCCAGGGCCTGCAAACACTCCCAGGACCCACCGAGACCCCCGGGGACCCACCGATGTCTCTCAGAACCCCACAAGAAGACAACCCACCCCCACCCCCCCCCCCAAAAAAAAAAAAAAAAAAAAAGGGAAACCGAGGCAGAGCTCAGCACGGTGCTGAGGCCGGGCGGACCTGCCGGGGCATGCCGGCTGCCCCGGCGAGGGCGGTGGCCAGATCCAGCGCCCGGGAGAGGAAGAGGAGGCCGCCGAGGGCCGGGAGGGAAGTGCTGACGGGTGGCCCCCCCGCATCCCCCCCCCCTCCCCCCCCCCCGTGATTCACCCCCCAGGAATGTGACCGGACGCCTGGGTTCAGGGATGGATGCCCCCCCCCCGCCTTTTCCTCTCAACTGCCTCTGCTGAGAACGGGTGAGCTCGTGACACGCCCCGAGAGGGTATAAAGTCTAAAGGGGAACCCCAAGGACATGGCTGGGGGGGGGTGGGCGGAGGGGACACGCGTGGCTCTGTCATCCCCCCCACCGTGCCCGGGGTCAGGAAGGATGCCGGGGCGGATATCCCGGCTGGAAATCCCCCCGCGTGCCTCCGGAGAGCGGAAAGCCGGCGGGAGGCTGGTGCATGAGCTGAGCTGGTGGGTTCTCTGCAGGGTGTGTGTGTCGTGTGCGTGTGTCCCCCCGCCCCCCCGGGGCTGTGGTGGGGGTGAGTCAGGGGACAAACCCGGGACTGCGGCTGCTGAGTCAAGGGGTGCAGCACCCGAGGGCGCACCCACGCTCGGGGCCACCGGTGCTGTGGGCACCTCCGGTGGCATCACCATGGGCACCCCCACCCCTGACACCACCCCCTCGGCCATTGCTATTGTCACCACCATCGTCATCACCATCAGTATCTCCACTGTCACCATCAACGTGGCCACGGCCACCGCCACGGGCATCTCCATTGCCAACAAGACCTCCAGCACCATCATCACCATGACCATCACCATCACCATGACCATCATCATGGCCATGGCCACCACCACGGCCACTTCCATTACCACCAACACCTCCAAAACCATCATCACCATGACCATCAACCATCACCATGGCCACCACCATCACCACCTGCAGCCCCTACAACACTCTCACCTTCCTCATCATCCATTTCTGCCACCTCCAGCCCCGTCGCCACCTGCACCACCGTCCCCACCGCCAGCTGCAGCCCCTGCCCTGCTGCTCTCACCGTCCCCACCTGCCTCGCCACTGCTGTTGCCACCACCACCACCACCACCACCATCACCACCACCACCCCACTCCACACCTGCAACCCCACCCCTCTCCCCACCCTCAGGGACACCCCAAACCTCGGGCCGGGGCGATGCAGGATCCGGCCGGGGCACCCAGCACCCCCCCCCCCTTCCCATCCCACAGGATTTCATCCTTTCCAAGCAATGGGAAGCAACCCCCAACCCCCTCAGCCCCCCCAAATCCTGCTCCTCTCCCAACACTTTCCCCTTTTTTGCACTTTTTTGCCCCCAAAATCCCAGTAACCCCAAGGATCCCTCCCGGCAGTCGGCACGTCAGGGACGTCCCCCAAATCCCGCTGCCGCGTGGGGGTGGTTGGGGGTCTCCATCACAGGGTCACCCCCCTCTGCCTTCCCTCTAGCACTTAAAAAAGCCTCATTTTAGGGTGTTTTTACCTCATTTTTATTTTTTAGGAGGGGCGTTTGCTATCCCAAACCACCCCCAGCCTCCGATTTATTTGAATTCGGGGCCGGATCCTTCCATCTTTCCCTCAAAAAGCGACGGATTACACCCTTTGGACGGAGTTTATAGAAACCTCAAAGCTTTTTAAAAATTAAATATATATTTTAAAAAGTGACTTTTCTTTTTTTTTTTTTTTTTTTTTTACCCAAACCTCACCAAACTGAGCCCACAAATCAGCCGGGAAAGGGCTGCAAGGTGGAGGTCGGGACGCTGCTTGTTTTTCCCAGCACTTTTTGGGGTTTTCCTGACATTGTTTTCCAGCTCCCCAGGCCGGATCCTGCCCGGCCCATCGCCGGCCATGGGAAACACTCCATTTTAGGGTGATTTTCCACTTTTTAGGGGTGTTTTTTTTTAATCTCCTCTGCCCTAACCTCTCTGTCGGACTTTCCAGGGGGGGCACCCAGCTGGATCCAGCCCCGGTGCGTGAGCTGGACGCTCTGCACGCGAACAGTTGCCCCAAACTCATGGATTTCCCCCCATTTTAGCTTTTTCCCCCCTATTTTACCTTTTTCCCTTCCACGTTAGCTCCCCCCCATTTTAGCCTTTCCCCCCCCACTTTAGCTTCCCCCTCCTTTTAACTTTTTCCCCTCCCTTTGAACTTTTCTCTCCCCCTTTTTAACTTCTCCCCACCCCCCATTTTAACTTTTTCTCCCCCAAATCGCGCCCCGCCAGCCGGTGATTCACAGCCGCACCCATGGGAACCCCTATTTTTTTTTTTTGGGGGGGGGGGGGCACCCCCTTATCATCCTTTATTTGGGAGGAGGCTCCCTCAGCCCCCTCCAACCTCTCAGCCACCTAAACCACCCGAACTTACCCCAAAACCACCCCACCCCTTTGGGTGCCCCCCCCAACACTCCCACCCACCCCCCCCCCCCAGCACCCCAAGAAGTGGGTTTTGGGGCGCTCCCCACGCGCGGAGCTCACCTTCCTCGGCTGCCAGGGGGGTGACGATGGTGAGGAAGAGGAGGATGAAGGCCGGGGGGGTGCCCGCCATGGCGGGAGGGGGGGGGGGGTGTGGGGGTGGGTTCGCGGGGGGGCCCGGGGTGCGCCCCACAACCGGCGGCGCTCAGCGCTGTGGGGCGTGTGGGGCTGAGCACCCCGCTCCTGTTCATTCATGTCCCGAGTGATGTCACCCGGCCACGCCCGCTCTTAAAGGGACAGGAGCTGCTCCCAGTACCCACCAGTACGGGACTGAGAGGGCCCGAGCCTGAGATTGGGAAGCGGGCAGGTTGGGAGGGGAGAGGGGGCTGGAACTGCCCCCCCCCCCCCCCCCCGGAGGTGTGGGGTTGTATGCGTGGGTCTGGATCCGTCCCGAGGTGCTGGGTGCGTGGGGCCGGACCCGTCCCGCACTACCGTGTTCCCCCCCCCCCCCCGCCAACTCCGGCCCGAAAGGGGTTAAAGCGCCCCCCGCGCCCCCTCCCCCCCCCCCGCTTTCATTCATGAAGCGGCGTGGGAAGGGGGGGGGGGGCGGCAGCCAATGGCGGCAGGGGGCGGAGCCAAGCGGCTACTACCGGCCACTCCCCCCGCCCACCGGTTACATACTGGGGGGGACTGGTCTGGGGGGCCGCTGCCCGGTCCCCCCCGTCCCGCATCCTCGGGGCCGGAAAAAGGCCGGACCAGAAATCGGCTTTTTCCGGCCTAAAAATAATGCAGGTTTTCTGTCGTGCCGGGGGGGGGGGAAAGGGGGAGGTCTGGGTCCACCCAGGGGGGCTGGATCGGGCCCCAGCACCCCAAATCCGGCAGCGTCCGTGGCACCCCCAGCCCCAGCCCCCCACGTGCCCCCACCATCCCCATCCCCACGCTCCTGCAGCACCCCAAATCCTGCAGCACCCCCGTCACCCCAAATCCTGCAGCATCCACAGCACCCCCAGCACCCCAAATCCTGCACCATCCATAGCACCCCCAGTACCCCAAATCCTGCACCATCCACAGCACCCCCAGCACCCCAAAGCACCCCGAATCCCCCAGGAACTGCAGCACCCCAAATCACCCCAGCACCCCTATCCCCATCACCCCCAAGCACCCCAAATACTTCAGCACCCCAAAATCCTGCAGCACCCCCAGCACCCCAAATCCCCAAGCATCTACAGCACCCCCATCCCCCACAAATCCCTCAGGAGCCCTCAGCACCCCAAATCCCCCTTAAATCCCCCCCAAATCCTCTAGCACCCACCCATACCCCCAAAATCACCCCAAATCCCCCAGCACCCCAAATCCCCCAGGATCCACAACACCCCAAATCCCCCCAAGTCCCCCTTAAATCCCCCCAAATCCCTCTAGCAGCCTCCATCTCCCCAAATCCCCCTCCCCCCCGCCCTAAATCCCCATACCCCCCAAACTGGACAGAATCAGGGCACCCAGAGATCTTTTTGGAGAAAAAAAAGTGGATTTTGGTCAAAAACCACTTTCCCCCCCCCCCCCCTCGCTTCCCAATCCCAGGCAGTGCTGTTGAATGGCAGAGGGGGGCCTGAGGCTGCGGTGAGGGGCTCCTGATGCTGCAGGGGCCCCCCCAATCCCACCCTGGGAGAGGGGGTTCAGCTGGGGGGGGACCCCTCGCCCTCTGGGGCGACGCCAGCAGCGATTTGGTCGCGTCGCCAGAGCCTCTCGACCAGGGCGTCGAGGAGGGGGGCGACACGGGCCAGCCCCCCGCGCCCCCCCCCGGCCCCCGGCCCGCTGCCCGCCCGCAGCACCGGCAGCCCCCAGCTCTCCTCGAAGGCCAACACGTCCCGCTCCGACACGTCCGCCTGCGGGGACAGGTCGAATCTGGGGTGGGGGGGAGCAAGTGGTTAAGGGAGACACCAACGCTTTGAAAACTGCCCCCTCCAACCTCATAAAAATGAGCAGGAGCTGCCAATCCATCGGTGGAACGAAGTGTGCACGTTCTCAGCCTACCAAGGGATTGACCGGTGAGAAATACAGGGATGCAAACCTGCTTGGGGTGGGGGGACACGTGGTCAAGGGAGACACCAACACATAAAAAATCCCCCTCGGTGGGGGCAACACCCCCTGAGTGGGAGCTGTGAATCCATCAGTGTAACGAAGTGTGTATGTTCTCAGCCTACTGAGATGCCAAGCGGTGCAAAATATGGGGGTGCAAACCCACCGGTGGGGGGATACGGACCCCTCCAAGGGCTCCCCCCCCCCTTCCCCAAGAAGGATACTTAGTGCCAATGACCACCCTAACGAGGTTTTCTTCGTCAGGGTTGACCACGCGGCTCATCTGGGCCGGCAGCTCCTCGAAGGACGAGCGGTCGGTGAAGGAGAAGAGGAAGAGGACGGCGTCCGCTTCCTCCTTACAAGCCTGAGGGGACAGAGCCAGGGGGTGACCCCCATCGTGGGGGGTGGTCCTGTGTGTGTGTGTGTCCCCAAAATTTGCGTGTCCCCCCCTTCAACTCACGGGCAGCAGATGCTCGAATTTTTTGAGGGCGCCGTCCCCGCAATCCCAAAAATGGAGCTGGAAGATGACGGGGCGGCCGCTGGCCCGCAGCTTGGCTGGCCAGTACACGGTGGTGACCTCGATGCCTGGGGTTTGGGGGGGGGGGGGGGAGACACACGGACACCCACACGCAGGGTCACCCCCAGGGGACACTGGGGGTGCCGTGTGCCCCCCCCCCCACAGCCCCCTGTGACCGTACCCAGCGTCTCGTGGTGGACGGGGGGCACGGGGGTCCCCGCCAGCGCGGCCACCAAGGCCGTCTTGCCGACGCCGCTCTTGCCGGAGACGAAGAGTTTGTAGGTGACGGTGGGGGCGGCCAAGGGGGGGGGCAGCGCTGGGTGCTCCAGCAGACCTTTGGGGTGAAGGGGGGGGGGTGGGTGTGTGTGTGTCAGGTTTTTTTGGGGTGCTGGCACCCCGTTTTGGAGGGCGGGGGGGTGGGGCTCACCGAACACTCGCCGCTGTTTTTTCTGGAGGATGGAGTCCAGGTAGGGGCGGCCGGCGGGGGAGAGGAGCCAGCCCGGCTCCAGCACCGAGCCGCCCCGCGCCGCCATCAGCCCCCCGAAACCTGGGGGGACATGGAAGATCCACCCCCCCCCCCCCCCCGCCGCCTTTTCCCCAGAGGGGGTCACTTCACCCCAAAGCTTGGGAGAGCACGGTGACCCCTTCTGATCCCCCATGGGGTCCCTGAACCCCGCCATGGGGTCCCAGCATCCCCCCCCATGGGGTCTCTGACCTCCGCCCCCCCCCCTTCCCAAGACCCCGGCACCCCATCTGGGGTCCCTGCGCCCACCCCGCCCCCCAGGGTCCCAGCACCCTCCCGTGGGGTCTCTGTCCCCTTCCACCGGTTCTCTGAGCCTGTGCCTCCACCCCCCGGAGCCCCTTCACCCCTCCATGGGGTCTCTGCACCCCCCCATGGGGTCCCCCCTTCCCGCCCCCCGCCCCCGCGGTCCCTTTAAGGCGCGGCTCCTGCCGCCTCACCTGCGGCCGCTTCCGCCCCGGATGACGTCAGCGAGGTGGGCGTGGCCCCGCGGGCGCCCCGCCCGTCCCCCCATTCGCGCATGCGCAGGGGCGAGCCGCGGAGCGCAGCCCGCTCCTGTAGCTTGGGGGTGTGTGGGGGGGCGGCTCTATAGGGTTTGGGGTCCCCCCATTTCCAGCCCCAGCGGGCTTTGGGGTCCCCGCTTTCCAGCACTGGCAGGATTGGGGGGCCCCCATCCCCAATTTCCAGCCCCAGCGGGATTTGGGGTCCCCGCTTTCAGGCACTACCCCCCCCTTTTTCTGAACCCTCCCGTTCCACCCCCCACCTTGTGCCCCCCTTTTTTTCCGCCTCTGTCTATTGCTCTAACATCCCCCTGTAGAAACATTGCCTTTTTTTTACCCATTAAGAACCCAATTCCCCTCTTTCGCCCCCAAACTTGTGGGGGGTTTCCCTCCACGGCATTCCCCCCCCCCCCCGCCCCGCCCCCTCCCCAGAAGGACCAACCATCCGTTTCTTTTCCTTTTTATTTGTTAAACTGCTAAAAATTCATCGGGATTTGGGGGGGGAGGGGGGGGGGGGGGGAGGAACCCATTAACACCCCCCCCCCCTTCAAAAAAATGTACAGAAGTTTTTAAATATCACCGAAAATCGCTTTTCATTCCTCTGCTTGGCCGAGCCTGGGACCACGATGTGGGGGGACACCTGAGTCGCGGGGGACACACGCACACACACACACACACACACACACCTCGCTCACAGCACCAGCGGCTCGCGGGGGGGGGGAGTGGGGGTAGGTGTCAAAATTTGGGCTGAATTTCTCATTAATGGTGCAGAACATGCCTTTCCACGACTGACGGGGACGGAGGAGGGACAGCCCTGGCCACTCAGCGGGTTTGGGGCTGATTAGGGGGATTTTGGGACCGGTTGAGGATGAAGACGACGTAAATATTGGGAAAACGCCCCTCAAGGGACACGCCACGCAAGGAGAAGGACGTCAACCCAACGCCGACGCGGCATCCATCCCTTTTTTGATTCTTTTTTTTTTTTTTTTGGGGTGGATGACAAGGGACATGCAAAGGGGAGGAGGGAATCGATGCCGACACCCCGACCGCCTTCCCCACGGCAAAGCTTCAAGTGGAGAATATATATTTCATAGATCACCCTTGGTGCTCCTGAGGTTCTGGGGGTAAAAACTGCATTTTGCCTTCTCTTTGGACAAATCAGATACGTTGGGGAATGGAGCGGGAAGGGCTGGATTTAACGAGGGATTTATTTACAGAGGTGGAAAAGCCGCAGACGAAGCAAAACCCTCCCCATCTCCACGCGGCTGGGATGTGATTTAAGGCTCCAACCGGCAAAAAGCTCAGTGGGGACAGAGGGGGGGAGCAGGGGGAGGGGAAAAGAGGGGCCACGTCATGGCACTGCCGGTTTGGGGAGGGTTCCCTCCTTTTTGGGTGCTGGAGGTCGTTGACCAAAACCTGGCAGAATCCACCCATTTTTCCCACCCCCCGCATCACCTCGAGGGGAAAGGGAAGGGAGGAGGTTGTCCCAGAGGGACGCACAGGTTCAATCCCTTCGGATTTTAATTTGTTTTAATCTTTGCAGGAGGAGGCACGTGCAAAGATGAGGTGCAGGAGCTGCTATCGGGGCTGCTCACACCCCTCAAATTCACCAATATTCATCATTTTGTCTGGAAAAAACCATCCTGATCCCAGGCTACAAGGTGCTGGTTCAGCCTTGAGTGGGTTGGGGCTGTTGAAACAAAACCTTCGCGTCTAGAAGGGAAGTGGCAGCCACATTTCTGGGTGGTGGGGGAATAATGGGATTTTTAGAGGTTTTTTTTGCTGATCAGGAGGGATCAGGGCTGATCCTGAAGCTTGATCCAGCACAGTGCAGGGAGGGGAGGATGCTAACAGCTGGCTAATTCTTAAGATTTTTGGCATTTTGATACAAAAAACCTGTCTGTCCTTCCTTCTCACGGTCCTGGATGAAGGACAGGAATGAGACTGGCAGGCCAAAGGGGTGAGAGGCAAAAAAAAAAAAAAAAAAAAAAAAAAGGCATCGTGTTTGGGTAGAGCAAAAGTTTGCAGCACCGGGAGATTCCTGGTGGGGTATTGCTGTTGTTTTCCTTACGGAGTCAAGCATGGAAATAATCAGTGCGCACAAGCTAACAGCCTCCTGCCTGCCGGTATTTGGGTTGTTTGTATAAAACCACCTGCACTCACATCCCGCAAGGAGTTTCGGAGACATAGGAAGACTCTCAAACCCCTGGCAAAAAAAAAAAACAACCCAACCTCAAGAGGACAGTGGATGGCAGATTTCCCTACCTGCTCACCCCAAATCCTTGGCTTGGATCACAGCGGTGTGGGTCCTTCCCCGCCTGTAAACACCATTTGCTTAACTGGGCTCTTACTGGGAACCGGCGGGGCAGCGCTGGAGGTTTTGCTTGGACTTTATTGGTTTCTTGCTCCCTAATTCACAGTTTGAACGCCTGTGTGACAGAGGAAGGGCTTGGGAAGGAGAGGGAAGAGCCGTGGGGAGGGAGGGGAAAAGGTGATGGCGGTGAAGGGCTCGGGCCGCATTATCTTTTTGCTCGCACAAAGTACAAGGCATTTGTTTTGGGATAGTATTTCACGTTTTGTTTCTTGTCCATGAGGCCACCGAATATTATTAACTCTCCTCTGCCTTGCACCACCGTGTGTAAACTGGTTTCAGGCGGCCCCACCACCGAACTGCTGTTGAACACTTTCCATTTGACTCGCCCTTTTTCCTTGGTGTCTTTAATGTCCAGCACGTACATCTGCATGGGTTTGCAGTTCATGCTCTGGTATAAAGGCTTCCCCACGTTGAGGGACTGGGGAGGGTGGTGGCCCAGGCGGCGGGCGATGGGAGGTAAGGAGTGGCCCTCGCTCTGGGTAGAGCCCGGACGCGCTGTGGAGCCCGTCTCGGCGCCCGGGGAGCCCGGGGAAGAGGCCAGGGGAGGGCTCAGTGCCGCAGAAGCCGAGGAGCCTTTGGAAGAAAGGGCTTTGACAGCCTCCAAGCTCCTCCGGAGCGCGCCGGGGGAGACGGCCCCGGGGAGGGAGCTGGCGACGTGGGGCGGCGTGTGGATGCCGTTGGTCTGCTCGGGGGGGTTCCTCAGGCTCGCGCCGACAGTCCTGCCCTCCACGCTGTCCATCTGGCAGATGATGGAAGCCGGTTTCTGCTCCCAGCTCAGGTCGACGGATCCCAAACGCAGGTCTTTCTGCTCGGGCAGAGATCCCCGTCGGGGTGCCAGGGCGAGCCCCACTTTTAGGTCGAAGCCTTCGGCCGCGGAAGGCGTGCCGGGCGATACGACCTGCACGGGGCTGTCCAAGGAGGCACCGCCGGCCGCCGTGGCTCCGGGCGATAAACTCCCACCGTTGAGTACAGGGGAACTGTCCCCTCTGGCCGGGGAGAGGCTGCCTTCCCGGGATCCCGAGGGGGTTTGCCTCTGTGCTCTGGGTCGCAAGGTGCCCCAGCGGCCGTTGACGCAGGGAGCTTCGTCCGTGTTCCTGACGGGCGACTGAGAGCGGTACTCCCGTGTTTCGGGGACCAGGGCGGGCGGCGTGGCGCTGATGGGAGAGGGGCGAGAGTTCAAACTGGGACTCAGCGGGGCTCGGCCACTGGGAGCTTGGCTAAAGACCACAACGCACTGTCCCACCTGAAAGAGGAGGGGAGAGAAGAGGTTAGAGAATGGCGGGATGACCCTTTGTGTGTATTGGGGAAAAAATAAGGGGGGGGTACGGAACATTCTGGGCAGGCAATAAAGGTCGATGGATGTATATGAGAGAGCAGAGACCCCACGGCCTCCGTACCCTGCAGGCAGGATGGCACCACAGCTCTGGGGCTCCGTGGTCTTCGTTCTCCACCTTGAGCGGTTGCCACGTCCAGGGGTTTGCGTGCATGTGCAGTAACCAGGCGTCTTTAAACAGCTGTGGAGAAAAGCGTGACAGATTTAGGAGTCCCGTTGGAGATTTAGGAGCCTGGTTTGCTGCTGAGATCATCCCACCAGAGGTAGGAGCGGTGCCTCGCTGCCGCAGAGGAATGGTGACCCAGATCAGGATCTGACCGCCCAGCAGTGACTACACCCTACTCCAGCCGCAGACAAATCCCTTCATCTCCATCTTCTGTCCCAGTATAAAATCAGGGCTAATTCTTCCGAGGCTCAATTAACCTCAGCAAGCTCCTCAGCGCCTGGGGTGCTTTTTTCTTAATTAAAGCAGCTCTAGCCATAGCTAGACAGCTTCTCTGGAAAATCTACCACATGGGTGCCCAGGTTTGCCCAGAGTAAAAGGCCGCTTGGGTAATGTGCAGAATCCCCCCTCTCCCCAGTCCGGCACCCACGGCTCGCAGCTACAGTGAGATGGGTGCTGTTCATGCCCACGCCCCCCGCCCCCCCTCCCACTCAGGAGACTTACTGCATTGGGACCACCACAGCCACCGAGGATTAAAATGGTTTCGTTGTCTATTACAATCTGGAGGGGACAAAGAACAGCATTTCAGACCGGGAAGGACACGAAGCCATTCATGGCGCTTTCGGCAAGGCCTCCGAGCGCAGGCAGAGCCAGGTTACGGCTTCTCAGCCGCGCAGACGCTGCTGAGTTTTGTCCACCCTGGGATGAGGAGTGGAGCTGGGATGGAGAGCCAGTTTAGCTGGGCCCGAGGCAAAGCGGGACGCAGGGCTCAGCCCACTACCTTGTCCCAAATGGCTTGCAAACCAGTTCCTCTTACAGAGGAGAGCAATTACCCCTCCTGAAGCTTGGCCAAAGCACAGGGGACTCGACACCTCTCTTCAAATAAGGGAGAAGGTGGAAGGATTGTGTGGGAGGGCACATGCTTGCAGCAATATTTGTTAGATGCCGGTGGTGGATGAGCTAGTCCCTTAGTTTCCCTTTTCAGTGGATGGAAAGGCATGTTCAAGCATGACCCACCCGATCTCTTCTGGGTGCTCTGCTCGGCTGAGATAAACTGCACACTGGGAACCGTCTTCCCGGGGACCATGAAGGGAAGGCAAGGATGCCAACTGTGACCGAGACACCTGCATCAAGTTGGGTGACTCCCACGAGCTCCCCATTCCGGGCAGACAACAGAACAGGCGCTGCCAGACCCGCGCTTTGAGCGGGTACAATACAGAGTCGCTCGAACCGAGAATCAGGAGAGCGAAGCAATCAAAAGGGCCTCGAGCCAAACCATCTTGTGATAACACTTCATTGATCTTAAGTGCCACGGGGGATGATCGCTGCGTTAAAACAGCAGTTTGTTTTCTAGAAATGCTCATTAGAGTTCTGAGTCATGTGCAAGACACGGCATGGTACCTGCCTAAGTGTTAGGGAGATTAAAAGTGCAGCCTCACAGAACAGATGGCTAGGGAAAACAAGGGCCTGTCGGGCAAAGGCTGCAAAGGTAACTTGGAAACGGGGCACTAGCTTTCAGGCAACCTGCTGAGAGCTGCCTGGAAGCTGGAAATTAAGCTCTGTCTGGTTTATCTCTGGCAGCGTGTGTTGGTGCGGAGCTAGTGAAGGAGAGCTCACCTGAGACTGGCCACCTCGCGGGTGAGGGCTGGGCCCGGAGATGTTGGGCTTGGACCAAGCCCACTGCTCGAGATCCAGCACCCAGACATCATTGCTCCTGCAAGGACGAGACAACAAGCGTTGACAATACAAGCAGGCCCTCTGGGAATTTGAAACATGGATTCAGGGTCAAGTTTTATGGCAGAATTGTTTTGGTTTTTTTTTTTTTTTTTCAGGCTGGAGCCTTGAGGGGACTCGCTGGGAGAGGTGAAGGGTAGGCTAAGGCAGCAGGCAGACCCCAAAACCCACTGGAGATTTCCTTCCAAAACACTATGAGCTACCCTGGGACCACCACAACACGCTCCTGGCTTGCAGGAGCACTTGCCAGACACCCTCACCCCAGACTTACATTTGTCGAGATCCTAGAGAACCCCCAAAGACGATCATTTTGTCTTTGATGACACAGGAGGAGTGTCCTGCCATGGGAGGGGGGCCGTGGGTGGTCACGATGCAGTTCCACCTAGGGAAAGAGGGAGGAAGACATTCACCATCAGGTTGGAAAGGAAAGCGTTGGATGAATGGCAAAAAAAAAAATCCCAGGGGCCAACGAAGTCCTCAAGAACATGTTACAGAGGCAAACCTCAGGGAAAACCTCCAAAGATCCAAATAATAATGAAACTAATTAGAAATACTAATGTGCTAAACATTTTTAAAGCATGACAAAGTCATATGGCCAAGTTGGAAATATTGCCCCTTTCAATTAAGTTCGTCCTGAATTATTTATAACGTGGTTTAATTACAGCATTCTAATGACATTGCCCAAAAGTGCATTGGATAATTGACACTTTTGAGGATGAGAAGTTCTCAATGAAAGAGGAGTAGGAACCATCACCGCTTTGATACAGCGTTCGCTCCTTTCTCACACACGAGCTTCAGTGAGAAAGCCTGGTCTAAAACCAGCCAAATGGTGTTTTAAAGGGGAAGGGAAAATTCCTGCCATCTCTGCGATCACTGCTGGATTCTTTATTAAGAGTCCAGGAGCTGTAAAGGCAGAGAGTTTACTGAAATGGTGCAGACACCTGCTTTATCACATCTCCCTTGAAGGGCCAACAGTGGCTTGAGTTTTGGACCATTGCTAAAAACCAGAACTCCAGGAGTTAAGGCTTTATCTCCTCCTTTCCTCAAAGACCTCACTGTCTTGCAGCCAAATCGATTAAGCATTTAAACCCTTCACATCCAGATTTCCCACCTGGCTGGATGGGAACGCTTAGGGAGTCTGGCATATTTTAGGTATAAGTTGAGAGCCATACGGAAGCAAACACCACCCAAGAGATGCCAGACAGCAGTGTGCCCACGTCTCCGGTGTGCTCTTGGGGTTTTTTGGCTTGTTTTGTTTTGTTTTGTTTCAGTAAAAGCATCGCAGACACACCACGATTAGACACACCTAGGAAACCAGGACCATGCACAGCTTCCCAGGCGGGCGCGGAGAGACACCCTCCGGCATTCCTCCAGCTGCATTACAGACACATTTTTACAGGATCAAAGCCTGGGCTTTGAATCCAGATGTGCTCTTACCAGTTTTTGGAGGGCGAATATGTATGGATTTCATCAAAGAACCTCTCTGGCTGGTGCAGAGGGTAAGGGCTTGGTCGAGTCCACCCACCAAAAAGCACAAGCAAGTCCTTGTAGACCACCAGCGTGGCCCCAGCCTTGGGCGAGGGGTATGAACCTGGGCAGGGATAAAAAAGGGGAAGGTTAGGAAGCCACGCTTGAGCACAAGTGCCGAACTCTGCATCAGTTTCATTGAAGTGTGACAACACGGAGACTCCACCTTTGGAAAAAAAAAAAAAAAAAATCAGAAAAGAAGGCAAAATTAGAGTTGGGAGCCTGGGAAGAAAACTACTGCCAATTTGTGTCATCGTAATTAGTAGGAGCCTGAAAGCACATCTCATGTATGGCAAAACATCTGTCACTCACTGGCAGGAAATTGCTAGCTTTCGAATGTATCCCTTGAAATTATTGCTTTAGCACTGAATAAAAGCAATAATTACCTTCAAATACCTAGTAACTTCTCCCCAAGGAAGGAGAGAGAATGAATACCAATCCTAACGCATCCGGAGTCGCTTGTGGCAGATCACTTGGGCACTCACGAGCAGCAGTGTGCACCGAACCCCGTTTTTTGTCAAGCGGCACGATGAAACCCTAAACGCTCGGCTGTGTGAATTAACAGTCGCTCCCCGAGCCCGCAGGATGAAGCGCTCCTCTACCAGTTACGAAGAGACTTTCTGCTTGGCTTGTTTGAGGCTCAAAGGGCTCTGCAGGGGCCAGGGACCTCCCGAGCAGGACCGGTGCACGCACAAGCAAGATGACACGAGCTCCTGGGCTCGGCGCCGTCGCGATACGCTGCCGGGCGTGCTGAAGGTTTCCCCGCAGCGTAGCAAAGCGCCGAGCTCGCTTCTCAATCCACCGCTGACCCCGCTGCCCCAAGTCTGTGCCCCGGCCACCGCAGCGCTCCTTAACCAGCTCGGAGCAAGAGCAGCTTCAATGCAAAGAGCCCCTTTGCGAGGGCAGCTGTCAAAGGCTGGGATCCCTTTGAACTTATGTCAGGGAATCGGCCACGGTCCGCTGCAAAAATACAAACCCTGCCTGCTCCAGCAGCCAGAGGTGCTGTGTCGCTACCTTGCAGGTGTGTTAGGCGCTGAATTGCTTCCTAAGAAAGGCTAAAGCCTCTCCAGCCAGGGCTGACGTGTCTGAATACCCTCCTGCCCGCGGCCGGCACCGGCACCAGGCAGATTCCTCCACCTCTGCGGTCACACTTTCAAAATAATCACAAAGACATCACCCGAAAAACATGGATGCGCGTGCCCAGCTGCGGGAGCCGGGGGCAGCCCAAGGGCACGGCTGCACACGTGGACGCAGAAGCACCGTCACCCTCTCCAAAAAGGCCGATACACCAAACCGACCTCTCTCCTCCGATGTCCTAATAGGACTCGGAGAAACATTTTTAGCAGGTAATGACATGCAGAACAGAGACTATTTTTAAAAGAAACCAGAGCAGTTATTTTAAGATGCTGCAGCTGAGAAAAGCGATTCGATCGCGATGGGTTCCAGGTGGTGGGGTGGTCAGAGCCCAGCCAAAAAGCAACCCCTGGCCAGACGCAGAGGAGGTGGCCCCAGGGTCCCTGAGCCTTTCTCTGGGGACAAAGCACATTTTGCCGCTGCTCTCAGGTATATGGCTATGGGGGAAAAGGGGAATAAATTTGTGCAGGAAACAATTCTTGTGCTGTGGCACATATATAGCATGGCCAGAGCTATACCCAAGGTCTCCTTAAAGATGCGGGTGCCAGAAGAGTGTCACATTTGGTTACTCTTTGTTCCCAAATTCCAGTTTTTCTGGCTCATTCAGTGCCTTTGTGCAATTTATTAATCCACACCAGCAAGTTTCCAGCCTAACTATTTTGCCGGCAGAGCATAAAGTTGCTCTCTCAAGCTTGGCATCACCAAGTAGACTGATTTCTGCCTGACTTGCAGAGAATAAGCTGGCTGGACTTCTCCACTGAGGACACCACAGAGCAGCATGGGGTGAAAGGTGCTGGGTTTGAAAGGGCTTATCTTTAAACAAAGAGGGTTAGCTAGAGTCACCCCAGGATGGAGAAACAGATCAGTGATTTGCTCAGAAAGGTCTGGGATGGTGCAGTGAGAGAAGTTACCCTCCTACTGCTGCAACCTTAAGGTCAACCCCAGCCTCAGACACCGAGATGGTTCCCAAATGAGTCAACAACATGTAAACAGCCCAGGGCAGAGGCTAGTCCTGGTTCTTCAGGAAGCTTGGCCTGTTATTGGATGTTGTATGGGTGTCAATGAGCGGAGTTGCATTCTGCAATGCAGGAAAAAAATCTGAATTTCCCAAGTCAAAGAAGAGCTGGCCTCTCAAACACCCTCTTCCAGGCAGACAGTTGGGATATCTACAGATACTCTCTGTAAAAAGACTCACCACAAGCTGCTCGTGCCAGAGAGAGCTTCAGCGATCTCGTGTCCGAGTAGAAACCCGCGGACAAAGAGCGGCTGAAACCTGGAGAATTAAGACTGTTTATCTCTAAAGCGGGGGAGAGCTGCTGGGCGCTGCTGCCACCGTCCCCGGGAAGGGCAGGAGCATCTCGAGGGAGACAGAGCAACGCCGGCCCTGCCCGGGCGAAGGCGACTGGCAGCCTTTGTGACTTCAGGTCTCAAGTATGCGGAGGAGCGCAGGGACGGCAGCAGGGACATCAAAGGGACACGGCTCAATTACGTGGGGCCCCGTAAGGACCTGCTCAAAGTCCCAGCTCTTTAGAGGTGCCGAGCGGCATTTCAAAGACTCCCAGGAATGTATTTGACATGGGAGGGCTTCTTCCTCTCCGCAAATGAAACGGCTTCTGTTCCTCACCAGGAACTGAAGGGCCTGCAGAAGAGGATCGTTAGCTAATTGTGCTGGTTTCAACTGCTCCCTTGGTCAGAGCGTAGAGGACTCTTCCTGGCTGGGTTTCTAAGCTCCACACCCTGATAACACCATCCAGCCCGGTATCAGATTATCTTTCCTTGGGGATAAAAATTCAAGCATGCTGAGGGTGTAGCACAATTAACTACTCCTAAACATAGAAGGCAATGTCTCTTTACAGCTGATGCTGTTTATTCAGTCAGGATGAGGAGCTAAAAGCTGGTCTGAGCTATTTTTTTTCCAGTTGATGAATTTTCCTGGCTCGCAATGCAGATACATACTTTTCAAAAAACAAACAAATAAAGATCTCCGGCTTCCACGGATGTTTGGAAGAGAAATGCGAGCCTCCGATGGCTTCTGACACGAACTCTGGATGCTATCTATTTAGGATCTGTCCTTGTAAGCATTTTTTAAAGCCCATTTAGTCAGCCCTCTAATGCAACTGGAGCAGCACATGCAGAGCTCAGCGACCACAAAAGAAAAACCTGGCTGTAAGGGCACGTGTAACATGAATTTCCAGACCAGCCTTTTACCTACAGCAGGCGCAGCCTCGAGCGACTCCAAAAATGAATACCAAGTGGAGCTTGAAATAAAAACGAAGGGGGGGGGGGAATAAATCACGCAGTGCCCTATTTGATGGGATTACCAGATGAAAGCATCAGTTCAGATCAATACTGTTTGGGAAGAATTGTAAAAGCGATGTGCTGAAGCAGAGCTAAGGGATTGCACCATCTCGGGGGCAAGGTTAAGATACGGAACGAGTTCTGGGGTTGTGTCAAAGGGATACATTTTGGGGAATTTTATTACAGCAGATTTCTGGAGGTAGATGAGATGAGAGCTGCTAATAGCAATCAGGGGCCGTTAATGCTGGATCTGATGGATTTTTCAAGCTGCCTTAGCTCCAGCAAGAGACAATGCTACAGCTCTGGAGAGCTGACCATGGTCATCGCCAGCCGATTTGAATTTGTCATGAAATGACAGGATAAGCAAAACCAGGCCCACAGCCGTGTTTCCAGTTTCAAAGCCAAGAAATTGAAGTGAGCTTGTCCAGCAGCCAGTGGATTTCAATGTGCAAAGGAAGCCAAGCTCCCAGGTTCAAAAGCTGCCCACAATCTGCACACCAAAGGCATAGGAAACCGTCCTGGGGAAGGGCTTGGGGCTACCAAACAAGGGGCAAGGCAATGGTCCTGCTCCGCTGCGGCTCAAGCCACGCTGGAAACACGGCAGCTGCCTGCCAAAGCCGGCCTCTCCCTGTGAACAAATTACATTTGTTCAACAAATTACATCCCATCACAAGGATGCGCTTAATTTGGTGGGTATATTATCAGCAGAGCACATTATAATCCCAAAGAAAAAAAGCCAGAGGGAGATGCTGAACCTGCATAGTCAGGTACAAAAAGCAACATTTGCTGGTGACCCGTGCTGGTGTTTCCCAAATGGTTTATACCTCTGCGAAGCCAGAGTGTTTTAGCATAACCCATCTGCTGAAGAACAAAAAGATTTGTGGGATTTCACCCCGAGGAGTTTGTGTTGCTTAGGAAGAATCAAAAAGCAATGGTAAAAAGCAAGCTCCTTTTAAGAAAGGAAAAAAATTGACCCAGCTGTCAGATGTCACAGCAGAAATGACACTGAAAGGACTTGCTGCACTCTGACTTACAAAAGCCCCAGTCTCCAATCCTTCCTGGCGGGAGGAGCCGGCTACCCTGCTGCTGTTTTAAACCATGTGCATCTCCAGGGGAGCGGCATGTGAAACAGAGCTTGTGCTCTCCCCAAAGGCTTGGCAGAGGGTGAAACCTCCTGCGCTGCCTCTGACGGACCAGCAGCAGCCGGCCTGATTGCTCAGTCTGGATTTCTTAGCCCGGCTTTTAGGCTGGCAGGGACTTAAAGATGCCAAAATCATGGGTCCTAACCTGGAAACCTCAGCCACCCCAGCATCATCACCCACCCCAGCTGAGGGATTACCTAGGCTACACTCCATCACACGAAAGGTCCATTTCAAACACGCACGACAGCGTGAAATCCCCAGATCTTTCCCCTTCAATGGGAAGGGAAACCAGAGAAGGAAAATCTAATAAAACCCTCTGCTACCCAGGCCAGCCAGGATTTTTCCACAGCAGTCTGCAGATTTGCCTGAAAGCTTTTCCCCTGCCAGCAGTTTGTGAGGTTTCACAAAAGGAAGATGACAAGCCGGTGAGCAGCAGTGCAGAGGCCGGAATACGGCATGACAAGGCGAGGACGAGCACCCCGGCAATCCC